TCAGACACATTCATATGTTAATTATATACTGGATTAATTATATACTAATCTTTTTTTTAATTTATTTTATTTATTTATTTTGCATTTAGTGTGTGTGTGTGTGTGTGTGTGTGTGTGTGTGTGTGGCCAGCTCAGCCCACCAGGGGGCGGGGCTGGCTGGCATGTGGTGCTGGGGGATTGAACCGCGGTCCCTGTGCTTTGCCAAGCTTGTTCCAAGTAGGTGCTTTAGACCACTGAGCCATCTTTCCAGCCCCTATATACTAATCTTGAAAACTGCTGAAATATTTCCATTCCTTTAAGGACTACTTCATTAGAGTGCTTGCCATCTAAGGCCATTCCTCAAACTTGGCATCTGAGCTCCACGTGGGGCAATGTCGGTAGCATAGCTTTGTGTGTTTAGAGGAATTTGTCCTCAAAGTAAGGGTATAAAGGTAAAGTTTTTCTTTAAGTAGAAAAAAAAAATTAAAATACTACATTCACTGCTAATAACACTAAAAAATTAAATAGAAAATGCTAACTTTAGCACTCAGGGTCTAAAAGAAATCTGTACCACCACAAGATTGAAAGGAGCACTCATGAGGCAATAGCGCTTACTATGGGGAATTTTAGCAGCTGAGCAGAATAATTTAAAACTAATAATACACTTTAAATAAAATGTATATTAACTTGGCTTGGTTAAAAGCTAGCATAAATGACTATTATTCCCTAAATCAGATGTGCTGAAATTACAATGCAACCAGATCTCTTAGGAAAAGATATGGAGATCCTTAACTGATTTGAGTTTCTATTATTAGTAGGCATTTGGCTCCATGCTGTACTCATTCCTATGCTTGGCCAAGGGGGCAGATTTTGAAGTACAAGACAGCAGAACCACTTTGGTCTCTCTTGTCACTTTGAAATGATCAAACTATTTCCACTGATTTGCACGAATGCACTGAGTGAATCTGACCATCATTCAGTACCCTTCTGAACCTATTACTATAAAATGTTTATTTTATAATGAAAAGCAAATACTTTTTAGTAAAATGAAGAAGCTACAGGAACTACTTTTGCTGTAACTTACCTTTTATAGTCTCCCCTCTTAGACAATTTCCATAGCTTTTTTCCCAAAGGTCTTATTTCCTTAGGGGTACTAATAAATGCTATTAATTTAGCGTTATTCCAGGAGCCACAAGTATCAACCGTCAATTTGCCATTTCTCCTTGTTTTAACTGCTATGTGCCTGGGAGAGGCTGGGTAAGGAACTGTTTTCTGCCTGAAGAAGAGCTAGAGGATCTATGTCAAAACCAAAACTAAAAGGCCCAATGATGGAAATATATTTGGCAATCACATGGAAGTGGGCATTAGAATTTGACAACACTGGGTTCACCAAAAGCTGGCAATGAAGAGTTTCTTTTTCCATACTTAACAGGCATTACATCCTATGGCCTCACAGAAGATCTGCTTATAGTAGATGCAGAAAGAGGAAAAGAGAGTAAAGAAGAAAATACTAATTTATTGGGCTTGGAAAAGTGGGAAATTAATGATTTCCTTTTGGTTCTTGATGCAAAGAGACCCTGCATACCCCACTTTCATTCAATGGTCTTTCTGTATCCAAACGGGCCACCTTGCTTGCTCATGATCACATGCCTGCTGAAGGAAAAGTTGATCCCTTGTAAGAACAGAGGCCAGATAAGGCAAGAACTACTTCTGAGTCCTAAATGCCTATACTTCTGCTAGGAGACTGAATGAAACAGGAATACCACTCAAAGAGCAAAATATATGCTATCTCCATGAAACAGATGTTAGCTGTCCCTAATCTTTTTAATACAAACCTCTTTCACAAAGTTTTTGGAAGAAAAATAATTGACATTTAGGACTTTAAAGACTTGGTTTGGGTGTTCTCTTCAGAGTTAAACTAAAAGCAGTTGAAGAAAATTAATGTATCAAGAGGCATAAGATTTATGCAATTATTTTCACAACCTGAGCTAAACAAATGTCTTTGTGGGTAAAGAAAATATAAAATACTTGACAAAGAAATATTGTCTAGAAATTTCCATGAAAAGCTTGACTTGAAATGGAAAAAAATGTTAAAAGGTACTCAAAATAATTAGTTGTTGATGCTGTCGTTCCTTTTACATGTATTTTACTCGTGAATGACAAACCACTTTGGTCAAAACAAGTTATTCTTAGAATTTAAATTACTTGTGGACTGTTGAATTAGCATCTAACCCCACAAGAAACACAATGGAATTCCATGGAATTCCCTGTCTCTTTTTCTATTCGTATAAACCTGAATTCAAGATTTCATTAAAGAATAATTTTGTAGTACAACAGTCACTAATCGGTTTTTAAATCTTTATATTTTAGTTACATGTACATTGTTTTTGTTTCATTAAATAAAAATATACCAGTGATTATGTTATTACAAACTTCTTTTTAAGTGATTGTTTGAGTGTGATTAATCTAATTGATGAATTTGATGTTAATATTTATAAAGTTGCCATTCTTGGAGTACAGATAATTCAATGGTAATAAAAATCAGGAAAACTCATCTCCTTGGAAACAGCACATATCATTATTCATTTGTTCATTCATATTTTTATATGAAAGGGTTTATGGGGGGGCTACTGTATGCAAAGCATTCTGCTATTTTAGGGACTAGAAGCTGTAGAGTTTGGATTAAGTGCATCAGAATATTTGCTGTGATATTTATCTGCATATTCCAAGGACATCTCCAACTATAAACTGTATCTTGCTTATTTCATTTTTCAATCTTTGAAAATATATTTTTTTATTTTAAACAAAAGCCTACTTAGCCCCTTGGATATCTAATCCACACTCTCCACTGGTGGTCCTGAAACCCTTGCAAGTTGAGATAAGGGTCCAAGACTCAACATTCCTATAAGCCCAGTCATGGCCCCTCCTCCTGAGGCCCATTCCTAAATCCACCAGGAAGCCTGGGTCTACCCTGAGCCTGGCTTGCTTTATAGACTGAAAACCCCAGCACAGAACACCAGGTCCACTGGGACAAACAGCTGCTGCCAACCAACATCCTGGGAAACAAAAAGACTTGCCTGTCCAACGTATGAAAGCCAAGAAGCAAAGAGATGGAACAGACCCTGGACAATATGCAGCTCTGGATCCCTTTTATAGACGATGAAATAAGAGCCAGAAAAGTAGATTTATTTGCATGCAGAAATCCATTGTGACCAGGGGCTAAAATCCCAACACATCTTTATCAGGGACTGGAATAGACCCACTGTTTCACCCCAGGCCTAAATCATTCTTATCAAGTATTAAGTTCTAACAGGGCTGGGTGAGGGAGAGAGTACCGGTGCTAATTATTGGAGCCACACCAGCTGTCCTGCCCATGAGGTACGACAATTACCATGCTATGTCTGGGAATTAGAGCCCATTAAATATTAGGCTGGGTAATAATTCAGAAGATAGGAATTACTGAAATAAGAAACCACTGCAACTGAACCCATCAACTTTCTCTACAGTATCGAGTCTGTGGGCAACCTCCGGCACAAAACAGAAAACACGGCGAGGTCCGTATCCTGCTACCCGTGGTACAGCTCGAGGAAGAGCCTGGCTCTCGGGAGAAACTTGATCTGCCCTTCTCACTGCCGCAGCCGAAGCATCTGGCACAGACCGTGGGAGGCGCTCGTGTGAGACTTCTCGCTAGCCTTTGTGCAGAGACTGCCTCTGGCGACCCTGTGTGTCGGCCCCTTCGCCTGGTCTCTATCTCCTTGTGCCTCCAGTGCTGCAGAGGTTCAAACCCAGGGCTGTAGAAAGCCGGCAGAGGCACCTCCCGCTGGCCACTCCCAGGAGCGCGGCTCCACCTCGGGCGTCCCCGCCAGGCGGCCAAGCCAGCTTGTTGGCACTTGTGCACTCCTCCTCGCGAGTTTCGCCCAGGATTTGGCTCGGCCCCCCAGGGGCCCGGCGTCCCACGCACAGAGGCCGTTCACCTGCCTACACGGTAGCTCCACTCCACCACAGAAGGCCCTCCTTTTAAAAATTAGTTATTATTATTATCTCCCCCCCCACACACACACACCCTGCAAACAGCACGCTCACCGCTGGGCTAGGCCGACCAGGGTGGATGCTACCGTCCTAGCCCCAGATTGCAGGTGGTGCCCCACCCCCACCGCCCTTGACCCGGCCCAAACCCCTAATTCAACCCGGAGCTAGCAGCCTTTCCACCTTGAGTATTTTATCTACTCCACTACTGCTCTCTAGGTAGGTAGGTGGGCGCATGGGAAGGCAATAGACTGGCATTCAACCCCAGACCTTTGAAAATAACCTACCGCGGCGCCAAGGATTCCAGGGTACCGGAAGGTCAAAGGCAAACAGTGCTGCCCGCAGCCCCACTGGAGGGCGCAGGGTGATGCAGTGGGTTAGGGAGGGTCGGAAGAAGTCCCCAGGCCAGGCGGGAACAACGGCAGGAGGAAGGCGCCAGGTGCGGGTGGGCGCCGAGGCGGCGCGGGCCTAGAGAGGGGGAGCCAGGTGCAGCCCGCGCGTTCCCGGAAGGCGTCAGGCGCCTGGGCTGCCGGCGTCTGCCGTTCTCTCTCCCAACGCAAACCCGCGCGTAGCCTTGCCGCCGCAAGTACTTTTCTCCCACCTCCCACGGCAGCCGGCGTCCCGCCTCCCACACTGCAGACGGCTGCGGGGGCGCGCTCCTGAGCGGGAACTCCCGCGGGGACCCCGGCTCCCCGACCCCGGGCCGCGGGCCTCCTCGGGCCGCTTGGCGCTGTCGGCTGTCGGCGGTGCAGCGGCTCCACCCTCGGGGTCACCCTGTGGGCACACGGTGCCCTCTTCTCCCCACTGAGACACCACCTCCTCCCGCTGTCGCTCCTGCCCAGGAAGCGTAAAATTTTCCTGCAGCAGCGAGCGTGGGAATCCGGCGGCGGGGCGAAGTCGAAAGAGGGTCGTGGGGTGCTGGGTCCCGAGCCCCGCCGCGCCCCCCACCCGGCCTTGGAAACCCGGCCCAACGCCACGCGGTCGGGGACGCTTACCCGAAGTGTCCCACAGGCTCAACTCTATTCTTTGTGTGTCGATTTCAAAACTGGCCGTATAATTCTCAAACACAGTGGGGACGTAATTCTAGATGAATGGGCAGAGGAGGGAAGAAAGAGGGCGAAAAGGTTATTTTAAAATACACGTCACTCATCAAATACTAAATGAAAAGCCGTTCCCCTCAGCTCCCAATTTAAGATAAGACCGCGCCCTTCCGAAACCCCCAACCCCGCTCGGCTCTCGAAACCCTGCTGAGCCAAGTCTTTCCACCCGGTCCGCACGAGCGAACAAGTTTGGGCGGCTTCGTCCGACCCCACGCGCTCCCAGCGCACTTTCCCTTTCCGAGGAGTCGGACCTGGAGCAAAGCAGACAGAGGTGACAGAGCCAATTGTTAGAAAAGAATTTTAAAAAATAAAATAAAAATAAGGAAAAACTGATGAAAGGGGAAGAAACAGGGGCAGCTTATCTCGAGACCCGGGCTCCCCACGGCCAGCCGCGCTCACCTCGGGGAAGCAGTCCTTGGCGAAGACGTGCAGCAGCGCGGTTTTCCCACACTGACTGTCTCCCACCACTACGATCTTGCATTTCACGTTCTGATTAGGATCCATGATAGATTTGCTGGATAATTTTTGGCTGGCTCTTCTCTCCTTCATTGATGTTGCCTTATAGTCTCTTGGAACAGGAATATTCTCTTAAGAAGAAAAAATATGTATATATATATTTCTCTATATAAAAAGCAGATATAAAAAATAAATCACAAGGCTGGCGAGAACCCCTGAAGCTCAACGCAGACGAAGAGGGAGACGAGAGAGCCAGCTCCTTACTCCTCTCCAACAAGTTTTATGTCTGACTCGGCACCGCGCCTCCCAAGTCCAATTCCGATCCGACTGCTTTGTTTCACGCTCTGTGCGCGGCTTTATACGCCCGGCCTTCCAATCCTCTCCTTTCTCAATGAGAGAAGGGAACTGATCCGCCTCCTCCCCTTTTATGGAGCCTGGGAGCCAGCGCTGTGGCGTTGCTTGCAGAAAATGTAAGCAGCGCGCCCTCTAGGGTGACGGTGCAGGGTGCATTTCAGAGGAAAGCTCTAGGAAACTCAAGGCCCCAAGCAGGATTTGATGATGGATGACACTGCGCAAGTCCAGGAGGAGGCGGAAATTGCTCTCTGTGCATAGCCATTGCACCAAAATTCCTTTAGAAATTTCCTCGTGTAGGCTCTTCTCCAGAAGCTCAGAAGCATTTGTGAAAACAAAATGCTATTTCCCACCCCTAAAACATATTTATAATACATATGAAGCAAACCTTAGGTGCAGAAGGGTCACAGTGGTTGTATTAAAAAGAAACATGAAAGGTCTGCTTCAGGTGTATATACTGTGAAACTAGTTGAGATTGTTGCAGATGCAGGAACTGGCTTGCCTGGGTCACCTTAATGACCTGTGTTCCCGGACCTGTCAGATTTAGTCTTTCCGCAGTAGGAAGAAAAGTTTTGAGGAGTGGAGTCGGTAGAGGGAGTGGGAGGAGAGAAGGATGTCATCATACTGCATCTTGTACTATGAATGAACACTAAGAAGACAACAGTATGCAATGCATAAATTATTGAAACTGTCCCACTAATCGGTTTTGAAATTGTCTCATTGCTATTTGTTCCTCAATAAAATTATTTTTCAAAAAGAAAGTGGAAGATGTTTATAACTGCGTGACAAAAGCCACTGGAAACTCAGTGCTACCGCAAGAGGGACACAAACACAGGATCAGAAATTGCACCTACTCTCCCTCCTCATCCCCCCCTCCCCATGGTGGTGGAAACTGGAGGAAGACATTCAGGTTCTGCCCTTACTTCCTATACCATTGACCTCCATCTTCCTGGAATCAAAACTCTTGGCTGCCCTTAGAAGCCTGAAAAGCTCAGGTCTAACCTCCCTCCTCTCTACCACCTCCATGTCTATTTCCCTGGTCTTCTAATTCTTCCTCCCAGAAATTCTTTGAAAGGATCAAAATATCCCGCACATTTGTATCTGTCTAATCTATCTATCTATCTATCTATCTATCTATCTATCTATATCTATCTATCCTATTTATCTTATCTATCATCTATGTATCTATCTATATCTATTTATCTATCCTATTTATCTTATCTATCATCTATGTATCTATCTATCTATGTATCTATCTATCTATCTATCTATCTATCTATCTATCTATCTATCTGTTAGAACACCATCATCATTTCCAGGTCCCCAAATAGTAGAAGTGTTCAGCTATTAAGTTGAAGGGCATTGGCTCAAGGGAACATATAGATCCCTCTATAGAAATGCTGTGCCTTATATGTCAGAAACTGAGGTAAAAAGTTCAGTGTGGGACTCAGAGACAAGCATTATCCAATTCCTATTACTTTGTTTCATGAAATTGTGTATTGTTTATAATGTTTTATTTTTATCACTTTGTATTCTTTAAAAAATAAAAATATAAATAAAAAAGAGTAGTTAAAAGCCCCAATATAAATGGCAGGTGGCCGGGCCCTGAGGTTTAGGGTACTCTTTGATGAGCTTTTTCTTCCTTTTAGAACTGAGACTGCTGAGGCCTCCTTCAGAGGGAAACCCTGCCTTGACTGGATGTAGTGGTCTGCCGTACACAGGAGGAAGGCTGGCAGTAGGGAAAGGCGTAGCTGGGCCTGGTGGGGTTCTCAGAGGACCATTTGCTAGTTTGTTTGGAAGAGCTTTGGTGCCCTCCTTACACAAATGTTGCTGTGCCTTTTTGGTGAGGGAGACCCTGTGCAGGTAGTTCTCCTGGAATCTCTATGGTATCGAGCACTTTGGTATGTCACAGACACCAAACGGTCCTGCAGAAAAGCAACCTACTTAACACAGTTTAACCCAGCACCTCCCAAACCTGCTTAAACGCAGGAAACTTTTCTGTTTGAGAAGCAGTGGGCATGATGGTTGGGTAGGAGATGACAAATAGGTGTATCTGTCCCCTGATCTTCGCATATGCTGGTCATAGGATGAATTATTTAACCTCTGTATGCCTCAATTTCATCATTTTTGAAACAGAAGTCATAATAATATTTATGAGGAATGCAAATGAAGTTGGTGGAACAGTTTCTGCTGAGATGAAGAGCTCTCCAGCTATGCTATATTCTATTATAACACTTTTTGCTCTTCGCAGGAACTGTTCAACATATCTTCAGGAATCTTGTGGACTCACTAATTGGAACTGGGTCCATACTATCTCTTATTTCTAACTTAGAAAGTTTTTGATTTCCAGAGATATGACTTGACCTTCTGTATGCTTAAATTAATGTAGCTTATGTAGTTAAAACATCCTACCTAGGATTAATTATTAGTTGTATTGAATTGATTGACCAATAAAGAAAACCATCATGTATTCATCTAAATATACTTTTGAAAGTGAGAGACGACACTAACGATCATTATGGTAGGACTGAAGACATAAAAATGTCAAATAAGAAAAAGCATAATCATTTTGCCAATGAATAATCTGAAATCAGTATAGATAACTATTTTTGAAAATGAGGTGACCTGAATCTCCAGGAATCTGTCAGTTACTGAGTGAAATTCAATAGATTCTAATATAGTAGAAAAATCACTTGACTGAAGATACCACCAGGTTTGATTGTAAGGTAAGAATTATTTTTCAGGATTTTTTTTTTAGTCTCTAGTGCTCAGTGTGTGATGTATTTCAAATATATTTGAAAATCCATAGCAGGTGTAGTTGAAGAATTATTTATTAGGTCCATGTTATATGCCAGAGTCTCTTTCATGTGCTGTATATATAGCAGTAAACACATCAAATCTGTTTTTTCTTTCTTTTTGTGTCACAGAACACACATTCCATATAGGAGAAAAAAATATAAGGAAACAAGTACATATGAAAGAATGAATGTGTAAACTCTATGACACAAAGAAAGCATGGCATGATAAAGCACAACAGAATGAAGCCTGAAATTTGTGGCCAGACAGCACCTTTGTACGTACATGGCTTTCAGTGATGAGGACACAACAGCCATGCCAAGGTCTGGCAGAAGGCTGCCCGGGCAGGAATTAGACAGTGGAAAGGTCATGTGGAAGGAAAGAGGTGGAAAACTTGTGGAACAGAAGAAGGCCAAATTCCTGAGTGCCACTGGAGATGGGAACAGAGATGAGAGACAGAAGGCAGAGAGAGGTGGCAAAAATAGTTCTGGGATCTGCATTTCTTTCTGAAGAGCAGTGTGAAGTCCTAAAAAAAGAAGGCTTGGAAACCATGATTACATAAAGGATGGAATGAGTGAGTGAAAGAATGAATGAACAAATCACTCCCTTTATGTCTGCATCTGTCACTTACTAGTGGCACCACTGTGATGAAATTGATCATCACCAGTGGGAAGGTAGGATCCAAAGATAGCTCATATTCTGGAAAACAGTAACACTTTGTACCGTGATAAGAAGTTTTTCTCTAAGAAGCACATTCACTCAGAAGAAGGAAATCCTCATCTGGGGAGTCATATATAACCTAATATCTTTCTTCTCGTTCTTCTTATTTGTCTGTCTATCTCTTATTGCTCTCTTTCTCAGATTTACCGCTAAGATCAAGAAAAAAGAAAATAAATGGCAAAGAGGTTTGGGCTTACCAAGTGTTTCCTTTGTGGTTAACCTTTTAATTATTTGGGGAAATTCTCCTAGCAGAGAAACTGCATTATCCCACAAAAAGGGCTGACCCCAGGCCTGGAGAGACGAATAACTGAGCGAGTCCACACATAGAGATGGCAGAAGACTGATAAACTACAATAGTTCTTTCTTTCTTTGAGCACTGGACAAGTCAGGGAGTTGGGTTTTAAACAAGGCTAAACCAAGCGCTGTCTGACCTTGAGCAAACATGGACTGAATTCTTTTCTTTAGTTTCATCCTTATATGATAATAGTATCTGCACAATAAGGCTTCTTAGAAAATCATGTGCCCTGTACTTTCAACATTCTTCTTTAGAAAAACATTACAAGCACCTCCCTTTTCAAATGAGTTGTATTCATAGAGACTTGGCCTCGCAGTAGAATATTGTAAGAGGTAATCCTAATTGTTTATTCATGGTTTCCTGTCTCTCTTCAGATGACAGAAGAAGCCTTTGAAAGAGCAAGCACACAATGGAGAAAAAAGACAGGTCACTTCTAAGCATTATCAGCAAAGTAAAAAGAATACTGGCATAAAAACAAGAGAATGTGCAGAATGTCCTCATAGACATTATTCTAAAATATGAGTGAGTCATGGGCATTCTTCTTGGGGATTTAATAAGATGCTGGATATTAAATAGTTTTAGGTGTGAGAAGAGCAAGGGCAAGAGTACAAACTGATACAACCTTCTGTACTGAAATGTTCCATTTGTCTCTTAGGCAGGTGGCCAGAGGGAGGTGATCTATCACTGGTCTTATGTGATTTCAACATGTTTGTTTGTATTTTTGTATTATTGAGAAAGAGGTATTGAAAAAAAGTGTTCATAAAATGCAACAGTAAATTGAATCTGTCACTTGGGAAGAACTTGTTTTTTTTGGGACGGAGACTTTCTTTTATTTTCTATTGATTTTGCCTGTTTGTCCTGTATAGAGTGTGACGCAACACGTAGGCTGTCTGGTAAGAACAGGGCAGTCCGGGAGGGAGCATTTGGTCTTGCTTTTCCTCTCAAGGCTGACTGCCGACATGATTCACTGCTGCAGTGTGTGTGTGGACTCACTTTCCAGCCAACAGGAAATGACACAGCTGTGTGGATGCTGAGTGATAGATCTTGCCCAACTGACCATCCCTGTCCCAACTTATAACAAACTTGAGGAATAATTGTTCACATTATTTAGAGACTCAGACCACACAATTTGGGTTTTGAATATTATAGATCACATACAATTCTTTCCAACTGCTATTCTTCTCCTCAATCCAGTGTCTTTAATTCTTGATGCTATTTCTTTTTC